TCATTTCATTTTTTTTTGTTCTTTTTGGACCAAAAATCTTTTGGCCCATCGACAAAAACCTTGCCCATTTTGCCCATCGTTTTTTTCCGCTACAATAGAAGTTTGCCCATTGTACTAAAAATCCTGGGTACGCCGCTGACGAGATGGTCAGTCTATTGGATCAATATCGACGACCGACAGAACATATTCAAATTAGAAAATAGTATAAAAAATTGGATCAATCACATCTAGATTATACATATAGTCAATTACAAAGAACTGTTCTAGATCTAACAGCAACCGATATATTCGGTTGGTAAATGTTAACTCCTACTGTAAGTCATTGTCATATAAAAAATAATGCAATCAAAGGATTTTAGTGCGAAGCAGCAAATGATATTACATGGACATCTTCGAAAAATTCTGAGAAAACTATCGTTTGATTTCTCTCCATTTTTTTAGCTCAGTTAGGTGTGAAATGTATGCTGAACATAGTATTCGACATCTAGAATCACTGTAATGAGTGGCAGAAATGGGCAAGTCAGGTATTTTTTCATCTCAGTCTGCTAGATGCTAAGTCCGAATCAGTCCCACTTTGTCCAGTAGTTGAAGATTTATCAATCTAAGTCCAGTCACAGTTCGAAAACATTCCTTCCAGCTCAAACAAAAGAAAAAATCGCGATAAACTAGCGTGCATTTAGCTAGCTCCAGCTTGGAACTAGCTAAATGTATCGCTTTACCTAGGTTGAGCTGGCTTATCGATTTTTTCTTTTCCTTGGGAGAATCAGTCCGTGATTACTTTTTCTTCGATTTGCGTACTTGATTACATGCTGATCATGTTTCAGATCAACTATTGAAACACTTGAGTGAAAAAAACTACCAGTTTGAACTTGGACTTACCCATCTCTGATGAGCGAATTAAGGAGGAGATCATCGTTAGACATGATACACTTATTAAAGACTGGACTTATGAAATTGCCAAGTTTACTAACGTAAACGAACGTTACTTTACGTTCTAATACCTTTAAATATAAAGAGAAACATATTTTGTTTAGACTACTTCCGTTTTCTTTTCTTTGCGTTCGCTTGTAGGATAAACAAGTATTTACTATAGAAAAAACTGAGATAGGTTTTTCCCAGCTGACGAGGGGGTGGGCGAGGTGCAGCATGAGAGTGAGTAACTATGCAACATTTGTGTATTGGCGTGTGTTGTCAATGAGAATACACCAGGCCCAGGAAGCTCAGAACATTTTATAGAAATTTATATATTTGGGTATTCTGGTATATTCTGGTGTATTGTCAATGAGAATACACCAAGCCCACAAGCCTAGCAAGTTTAAAAAATATAGTCTCTTTTTGAGAATACACTGCGTACTGATATTCTGGCAACCCCCATTCACTCAGGTCTTTGTTTCCGAGATATGGAATTTTTATATTAAACTCATGCGATGCGGTCCCTTTCATCTACTGGTGCCACAAACCACTATGTTTAATTCATTTTTTTCTAGACTACCGCTTTCACTGATTTTCTTCCGTAAGGCTTTGCGTATTTAAAATGGCGCCACGAAGAAAATAGAGAATTGTATGTATCTATCAGCTGATGGATAGTGAGAGGCACCGCCAAAAGAATCCGATCTAGTTCTCAACCCAGAACAGATTGTCTTATGAGTCGAACATCTCAGAACTCTATTTTCTCTGAACCATAGTTAGTTTCATTTTCAAAAGTTTCATCGGAGACAGACAAGCACTGCATGAAACTATACAAAAATCTTTTTTACGCATATATTAAAAATTCCATATCTCAGAAACAAAGGCCTGAGGAAATGAATCCTTTTGAGGTTTTTCATATTTCATCGAGATCTACTTATGGCCAAAAGATGGAGTTGAAACGAGTTAGACATGTGAACAAGTTCCCTCGTGAGTAATAATGGTGACCAGCATACATTTTCAGGGTTGTAAACTACATTGATTTTGTAATATTGATACTATGATTATCAATGACATATTGAAAAGAGAGAAAAATGAAGAGTGAATTTGGCATATAGCATTTGGAACTGAAGGTTTGTTTCCACTCATAATAAGAGAACGCACCGTTGTAAAACTTGTTTTTGCGGAAGGTTCGTTACTCTGAATGAGCATTTTTTTGGAACAATTCGAGTAGCTAGGACTCTATCAGAACACGTGAATGAAAAGTGTAAGAATCACCTAACACGTTTAGCAGTAGGTAAAGTGTAAGTCTGATAAAGATGTAAACGTAAGATGGGTGGAGAAGGATCAAATGTGCGATTTAGAGTATCGATTATTTATCTACAACACTTACGAGCTTCAGCTAAACAAATTCTAGCTCATGTGACATCATAATTTTGCCAAACAGGAAAACTGCGCTTCACGCTTCGTAAATGACAACTTAATAATGTACATCTTACTAATTTCTTCCTCAAAGAAATGCTTCATTGAAGTAATCCACCTTCGAATACACAAGTAGGTTTTCACCAGCAAGACAAGGTTGTATACGAAGAAAGTAAAAGAAATACATCGATTATTTTGTTTACCGTTCTTTCTTTTCTTTTCTTTGAAAATAGGCTTATTTCCTGTTCTGCAGTAAAAGCGTCATAGGGATATTTTAGCATAAATTTTCTATAAAAAATACTATATATTGAACATGTGTTCTTCTTATCACTTCATTGTTATGCTCAACATCCTACAAACTTATTACGCAAACAATGATTAATCAAACGTTAGATTCAAGTACTATTTCAACTGCAGTTGTAGCGGAACCATGTGGATGTCCTTCATGTAATATTAAAATGCAAAAAGAACAACATGTGCATGGAATTAAGTGTCCACGATCGAATGAACAATTCGAAGGTGATCAATTATTACAAACACCTAAAGTACTAGATGGTTGTGAAGTTGAAAAACAAGATTGTAGTAATGAATTTCAAAAGATGAGTCGTTGTCTATCGATATCTTTGAGATGTTGTAAAGAGGTACCCGACTGTGATGTACTTGAGCATCGTTAGAGTAAACAGAACCAGAAATGCCTTATGGCAAGTACTTATGGTTACATTAAGATGCATCACTCAGATAACGATTCGAGTATAGAGATGACTGATAAATCGATCATTTTACCTTTGGAGATGGTAATGCCCGTAAAATACACCTGTCACTTTTCTTCATTGTCATACGCGGTGAATACGATGCCATTTTAACATGGCCATTTCATTTCAAGGTCACTTTTTGTATATTTGACCAGTCTGGACAACAACGTCATATCATCGATTCATTTCGTCCTGACGTAAAATCAAATTCATTTCAAATACCGAAAACACAAATGAACATTGCCTCAGGCATCCCGAAATTCTTTCCCTTATCGATGTTGCAACAAGAAGGAAAGAATTATGTGAAAGATGATACACTCTTCATCAAATGTATTGTGGATTTCGTCAATCTCCCGAAAATTTTCTTACCCTACTGCTTGAACTTAAATCTAGGACTACCAGCTGATGTGCAAAACAAAATGCTCAAGAGTGAAGCTGAACGAAGACAAGGAAATCAGCAGCAGTCACATATAACCACATCAGCTCCATGCGGTTAAAAAGAAATTGTCATGTATGGGAATAGTAAACAAATACAGTCATCAAAGCAAGCATTCATTTATATTATGTTAGTCAGAAGAACAAAATCTTACGTATAGAACTCTCAGTGATTTGCTTATAAGAATCATGAAATAGCCTCAAATAAAACAAAGATTATTTTATTTTTAGAATCAGCTGGTTTATATAGTTTTTCTTCTCTGAACCATTGTGTTTAGTTTTTATTGTTAAACTTGAAACTGTACTGTTTCAAAAAAAACTTAACTATTATGCTACTGAAATTAGACGAAAAACGCCTGTTTCTTTTATCATGCAGTTTTCATTTAATTATATTGCGTTTATGACTCACCTAGCTTTCGGTATTCATCTCACAATTTATTATGTGTCTAAATGACTTCGGTATGATTTATACTTTTGTTCGGAAGACTATACAGAAACAAATTTATGACTATTTTGGCTGCTGAAGTGCTACTGCTGAATAAGGAAAAACCCATTTTTCTTTTTAAGCCTTGTCTCATATACATACAATATTTTTTTAATGCCATTAAATGTAATAATCATTCACATATCAAATTAACAGATATTTTTGCTATTATACTGATTAGTTTTAATAAATTTAATACATACAATGTATTTTGTATATCACCAAGAAAATAGATGGGCAGAGAAAAACAGACATTCTGTTCCATCATGATATAGGAGTCAAAGTTTTCAGAATTTCCTGATTTTGCAGAGTGCAGTCGACTAATTAAAATCTGAAAAGATGAGATCTTACGTCCTTATACTTTCAGAATTCGGTCGACCTCACTAGTATCAGAGCCATAAGTAACCAAAATCGAAGAGTCCATCTTATTCTTTTGCCAACTATTTATTCATCCAGTCGATATGTGGAATAAATGTAAAAATGAATTCTGAAGTTAAAAGTAAACAACTTTGACTTTTCGAAGTTTAGCTTGGTCAGACATACTATATAGATAAAAAAGACTTTTACATCTCTGGAACCAAAAGCCAACTCGATTTTTCGAAATCTTTTATTGTGAATTATTCTAGAGTCTCCTACAATCATTTTGTGGAAGTTTTCCACATATATCCTTCTTCATTGTCGAGACAAATTTTGATATCTTTGATATCAAACTGAGTGTCTGATTCGCGATTTTCTCTGCTTGCTTCAGGTTTCATCCAAATCTAGCTTTATATTCATGTCATTCTGTCGGATAACCCATTGAATAAGAAGTGAACACGATTTATAACTTGTAGTCAAAGATTTATCTAAACCAAAAAGGAGTCAAGCCAGAAGCACGTATATAACTTGTTCTGTCAACGTTTTCCCCACTATATGTTTAAAAAAAAGCATTGAAAGAATAAAACGGTGAATAAAAACAGCGCAGAGTTAATTTTTGCGTGTTCTTCACATAGCGAAAGAGAAAAAGAGAATAGAAAGATATATATATATCGTGTATATACGAGAAGAGACATCTTCTTTTGTATCCGGAAATTGTTCATCATATGCCTGATAAAGAATTGAATTCTGCATAAAATGAGATGAAATAAACCGTAAGTCTTTGATCGTCGTTCGTCAAGAAAAAAGAATTAGCATATAATAATTTACTCTGGATTCACATCTTGCGTTTACGCCAACTGTTGTTCATGACGAACTTCATCCAGAATTAATGATAAAAAAAAGCGTTGAGCCAGATACACCAGAAGTTTTTCTACTAGACCGAGTCTCAAATTGCATTGAGCCACGGTCGAATGCCCTACATTTCATCAAATAGCCACCACGGGCCTGACTCATTCGTACAAGGCCGTATGTGATTTCATTATTGAAACGCACAGATTTAGACATCCATGATGATATTCTATCATATGTACGTGACTCTTGTACACCGCATTTCCGTATTTTTTGTTCTACACAAACACTAACGTTTCTTCTCCATATTTACGTAATTAAATTTGTTTGAATATACGTGGGTTGTCTATTTTTTGTTTTTCTTTTCTTTTCTATTTGTTATTAACACTTATGTTTTTTCACTAGTTATTAACTGTGTTTATTCTGTCGTTATACTTTTATTTTATCCTTATGTAAATGATTGAATCGCACAATGCCATTTTACTGTTGATTTCCTAATAAATATGTTTGAAGTGAGAAAAAATGCTAAGCATACCATGGTGATTTAAAACAAAATACATAACACAATCATATTATTTTCGTTCAATATTCAAAATAACATTGTACGTCTCCTTGTATTTTTTATGAGATAATAATTAGTGTAACAGTCTGTTAATAATAGCTTGAGTTAGAGATGTAATCTATTATTTAGTGCGTTAAGTACTATAACAATATTTAAATGACATACTCTGTCGAACGGCTTTTATAAATATATAATTTCTCGTTTCTTTTTACATTAAAAAATATTATATATTAAACTTCATGGAAAATAAATAAAACGAAAGTAGTCAAACTTGTCAAACATTTTTTAGTAACAATACCGCATATCGTAAAAAGCAATAACAAAGCGCTTATTAGTTTCTGTCACGTAAGTACGAGCTATATTTCAAGTAAAAAATTCAATTTTCTCAGTTTCCTCCATTTTCCATATTATGATGATCGGCAGAGGTTTCTATTTCGATCATATAATTGTTTTTCATCCAGTAAGAACACTTAGATGTTATATGCTAGAAAAAAAAAATCGAGTATTTCCTATTAATGACATATATTACATACTTTAGTAGGCTTCTAAATCCGGAAATACGTGATATTATGAATACCGTAGGCATCAATCTTCATATTACCATAGAAAGTCGTTTTTCAAGTAAAATTTAGTATGAATAGTTTTGTTTCATTCTATAGAAGATGAAAAATAAGAATTGGTAGGTGTTTGACATCAATTTGTTGACTCTTAAAAACTTATCCAATGTGAAAAAACCTATAATTAAAGAAAACAAAGAGAACATCTCTTAAATCATAGCGAAACAAAAGATCTATGAACATCATGAAATTCTCCGTCAATGAAGTTCTTAGTCAAACTAAATTTGACTAAGATCATTTAAGAAAAATGAGAGAATTTATTATTTCTTTTATACTTAATAAAGTGAGACGCCGCTAATTCAAAAGTTCAGCACATTTCTTTTTCTGAACGAAACACGCATCATCGGATAGATCTGGTCATATTCCTGATCACGAATATGACCTTTCTTTTTAATTTTGATGAAGTCTTTGGATAGAAAATGGCAAAATACGGGGACGAGTGCAAAATCTCTAAAATTTTTCCGTTTTCAAAAAACATCCTTCCGTGTTTTCTCTCGCACTTCGTCTTCTCACCGTTGTGTTTTTCGAATTCTTTATATATAAATGAATCTAGAAATGTTGTCTAGACAACATTTCTAGATTCATTTATATATAAAGAATTCGAAAAAAC